GCTCTTATATCAGTCAGGGGCAAAGCAGATGTACAGTCCTTAGTTCATCCTAGCTTGATGCCTTTGTCGATGGCCAGAGCTGTTTCATGCCTGAGGCACATAAAATAATAAAAAAAAACGTTCCTCTGAAATCATGTTTAGAACTTTTTGCTCTCTCCATCTCTGTCGCATTTTTTTTAATGTCCTGTCTCTCCTGTTTCCCTGTGATAACAACCCCCAGAAACTGTTACCACAGAGTTTTTGCTTCAGGCTCTGCTTTCTAACCTAGGCTAAAAGAAACATTTTGGATTATGTGAAGTCTCATGAATGACTATGCTATAAGTGGATTTTGTCTCTAGGTTCCATTGCACTAATTGGTATTTGTATAGAAATAAATGTAATTCTCTCAGATAATTAGAAAATGAAAGAGGCAAACATAATATATACATGACTTATTTATTAAACCAAGAGAAGGCCAATGGACCGCCTCAGCAAACTATAGGAAAACTTTCCAGAGGCTTGAATGTGGAAAGGGAGAGAACTGAATCAACCCATAACATACAATAATAGAGGCTGTTAATCAAAAGAACCTGCATTGCAACAGTCAGAGCCACAAGAGAATTGTTTCACCCAAACACCACAATTTATCATGTTTAAATTTCATATAATAATTTTAAACTTCATTGGCATTGTAGTTCGTTTTAGAGAAAGTATAATTTTCAGGAGTTAAACTAAACTTAGGTTGGATTTGGATACATTTTAGAACATTATAATGAAAATAATTATGTCAACACTTGTGGGATGTCCCTGGTTTTCTTTTAAAAAAGGTTCCTTATTTTCCAAAGTCTGAGAAACTGTGTTTTGTTTTGTTTTGAAATTTATTTTTATTCATTTCAGAGAGGGAGAGGAAGAGAGAGAGAGAGAGAGAGAGAGAGAGAGAGAGAGAGAGAAACATCAATGATGAGATAAAATCATTGGTTGGCTGCCTCCTGCACGCCCCCTACTGGGAATCAAACGGGGACCCTTCAGTCCGCAGGCCTACGCTCTAGCCACTGAGCAAAATCGACTAGGGTGAGAAATTGCTTTTCATGTTTTTTCCATAGTAGATATCTCTGTTATCTCGGGGCTCCACTTGCCAGAATCTCTCCCCAGATGGCCAGGGCGGGCACTTGGAGCTGCCTTACAGGCCCTTGGCTTTCATCACCTTGTGGCTAGATGCGGTGGACGGTTCAAATCGAGACTGTAGTGTATTTCCCTTAGCCAGCCCCAGGCTCACTGGCTTCCAGATGCTCTCAATCGCTCAGACTTTCCCCTTGGCAAACTCAGGTCCGCACCCACAGATCCCGCTCCCTCGGCTCCGCGGCCACCCTCCACCCGCCTCCCGCCTCCAGAGCTGTTTCCCGATCTTGCCTGATGATAGCCATTTGTTTAAAACACAGACTTCCAGACTTTCTCTAGAAATTCTAGATGTCTAGAGAGAGAGGCTCAGGGATCTGCATTTCAACAAGTGCCTCGGGAAAGTCTTACTGGCAGGCAAGTTTGAGAAACCTGGCGGAGGGTTTCCTCGGTCCCCAGGCCTCTTCCCCGAATGCCCCTACCGGTCCTGGATGAGCCGGGAGTAACTCCGGTTTGGTAACTCTCGCCAGTGCCAGGTTCCTCCACTGCCCACCTGTGGTTGCCAGGCGACCAGACTCTGTCCGCGGCTCAGGAGAGATCTCGCGAGGTTCCTGGAAGCGCCCTCCTCTGTGGCGTGGCGGGGTCCTGCTCCCTGTGACGCCGGGCGGGGTGGGGGTGGTGGCCCTGGACGGGGTCTGAGCGCAGGCAGGCAGCTGGATGAGGCGGCAAGGATCGCTCACACTGGCCTGTTCGTGGCCAGCCTTCCTGCCGGGACAGTTTTTGGCAGGTCGTCATTTCCCTCTCCTGGGTTTTCCTTGCCACCAGTTTTGAACTTTCAGTGCCCCCAACTCACCACCTTTTCCCAATAACAGCCCTTTACTCAAACAAAATCCAAATTCGTTAGGGTGACATTGCGGTCCGTTCATCATGGCCAGCCTCACTGCTTGCCTCTTGCCCTCTAAACTTCAGTATTCCGATCTGGCACTTGGCACGATATGTCTTGTCCTAATAAACTTCACCCTCTTCTCTCCTCGCCTCAAGGTAGCAATAGAACACACTTTTTCCCCTCCTTAATTCTTATTTTCCCTTTTAAGACGGAAGGACTCGGCTTGGGATGAGCGCACATCCTTTCTGAAGCCTTTCTAGGTGCTGGGTCTTGTGAAGTAATTACTGCTTTCTGCCCCCAAACAACTAGGATATATTAAATTCTTTAGCACAGTACTTACCACACTACTGTATGTTTGTTACTTACCCATATCTTTAATAAAATGGTAAATTCTTTTAGAGCAAGGATTGTGTCTTTTATCTCGCTATTCCCGGGATTTGGCAAAGTGCTTTCTAGATTAGCAGCCACTCCATAAGTGTTTGTTAAAATAATTTACACATGAAGGAGACTAAGAACAATAGAAGAAGGAACTGACATTTATAGTGGAAAGACTGGGACTCATTAGGGATATGGTAAAGTGAGCAATCTGGATGTAAGGACAGTGAAAGCTGTATAACAGTGGGTGACAGCTGTGATCTAGGGAGGTGGGGGCACGCTGGAAGAGTTGTCGTTGCTGTTCCTGTAGCAAAGGAGGGCCAGAGGAGATTGTTAGAGTTACAAGGCAGCTTGGAGCCCATGTGGACAGTCCCATTTGCCATTTTGCAGATAAGGAAACTCCCAGGCCTAGAGATAGGAAAGAAATAGGCTGAAGGTCACAACCGAGGTGGCAGAGAGGGAATTTACCCTTGGGCTCCTAATTCTAAGCTCAGGTCCTCTTTCCTTCTATCTCACTGACTGTCACAGTAAGAGTGCCTAGAAAGAGGGACAGAGGGATGGGGACAGGTGACCCCTAACCCATTCAGGACATTGTTGGTAAGTCCAGTTGTAGGCAGTTTTGGCCTGGATTAGTGTGAAGGCAAAGAGAGTGGCAAGAAATGAACAAATTTAGGAGGCATCTTGAAGCAGGATTTAATAGAGAGATTGGATAGGAGAAAGGGAGAGAGAAGATAATTGAAGATAATTCTCAGGTGTTTGTTAGGATAAAGAAACAATACTGGAGAAAAAGGAAAGGTGGCAAGTAACTTGAGGGGAAGTAGATGAGTTTGGTTTGCACATATATGAGACGAGATAGGTTTAATGGTTTCCAGAATAAAACTAATCATTGAACCCAGGAGGCCAAGATAGTAGGGAGGGAGGAAGTAGGTAAAAGAGAAATATAGCAAATCAGTAACTATGCCAACTAGTTTTGATGGAAGAGGGAAGCAAAGCTGGTTAAGGTGTCAGAGAAAGATTCATGAGAAGTGAGATATGTTCTGAGAACAAATAGTAATTCTGTGATTGAGAAACATATAATTTAGATTCACACACTGGAAAGAGTTTAAGGAGGGAGTTACCTAACAGAATAAAAAGCTACAGAAGGATATGAAGAAGTAAAAGTATGGTCAAAATAATATGCCTAAAACACTATGACACAGATCAGATGCCCTTCTTACCTGTTTTGTAGATCATTCCTTTGGGAACAACAGCTTTAGTAATGCATGCAGGGCTGTCTCATTGCTGTTTGTAGCACTCACTGAACCTGCTTCTAACATTACTTTGCTAGAAACATGTTTAGCAATGCCTTATTAAAAATCAGTGCTCTGTTAAATCTTTGTTTTGTAATGATTTTATAAATAATAAAAAGGAGCCTAACCGGTTTGGCTCAGTGGATAGAGCGTCGGCCTGCGGACTGAAGGGTCACAGGTCCGATTCCGGTCAAGGGCATGTGCCTTGGTTGTGGGCACGTCCCCGGTGGGGAGTGTACAGGAGGCAGCTGATCGATGTTTCTCTCTCATTGATGTTTCTGACTCTCTATCCCTCTTCTTTCCTCTCTGTAAAAAATCAATAAAATATATATATATAAAAAAATAATAATAATAAAAAGGAATATGATCTCATTTGTGGTAAAATTATACACACATTTAAATGTCTAAAAAATATATTTATGTCTAAAGTATAGATTTAGATACAGTTATTTACATCCATACCTATACTATATACCAAAATATTTAATAGTGGTTATTTCTTGGGATTATGCTTGTTTATTTCTCTTAATTTAGTAATCATATTTTTAAAAAAATGATAAAATTATATTCTGAAAATCCATTTTTAGATTCTGCTCTTTGTGGAATTGAAAACCTCTTTGTGACTGTTGGTATTTAAAATAGTTTAAAATGGTTGAATTACTAATTAATTTTAAGAGAAAGTATTTTCTCATTAAGATGTGAAATATAATTCCTGTCTAGTGGCACACAGTGTTAAACAATCATCTGCATATTTTCCAATGTGGCAGAAATTTGGCAGACTACAAGAAATACTTGTTTTCAGTGCAACATTTGTAAGTTCAGTGTAAAGTATTCTAAGAGTTACACTTTGACAGATGTTGGGAAATTTGTATTTGTAAAAAAAAAATGGAGTCTTGACAATCATTTTAAAAGGCAGTCTTGGAAGAATTGCTCTAAAAAGCAAATTTAAAAAAGTCTCCACTTGAGTTTCCAAGTAACTTTAGACAGAAACAAACTTTTTATTTTAAAAATTGTTCTATATATTTTTGTATATTTTTTGTATTTCTTCACCTCTAGAGTACTAAGCAAATACTTTAATGATTAGTTATTTTCATTGAGAAATCAACATTTTAAAGGGCCCAGACAAGTATATCATCATATAACTCTATACTGAAAAATTAGCTTTTATTGGCATTAACTCCTCTTTTTGTGTTGACCTTGTAGATTGATAAAATATTAGTATGGTAGGCAGACTTTTTTTTTCAAACTAAGAAAGGCTTTATTTTAAGACAAAACAAACAGGAAAAAGACATCCAAATTCAAGTGAGAGTTCACTGTATTTTTTAAAAGAGAAAGCTGCACTTAGATGTCAGTTAAAACCAGAACCATTGTAGAGATGCCTGCTGTTTGTGGTGACAAAGTTACAACATGTGTTTGTCTGAGAAGTCTTTCTATGGTGGCATAAATGTGGGACTGCATGACAAGAGTGAAGCAATACAAGGTAGAATGGCAAGTGGGTAAATGCTCTAATGTGCTCTTGTTCTGTTTTGGAGAATTAAAGAAAGCAGCAGGTCACCTCACAAAGAACTATATTGTCAAAAAACACTTACAAAAATTGAAAATGGATGTGAGGTTGTTACTAAAGGTATACAGGGAGGTTAGTGGAGAAAAAACACTTGTGTTCTCAAAAACCAGGTTTCACACAATAACAGGCACTAAAACTAGTTGTGTGTGCTTGCAACAGGAGAGAATACTTTTAATAAAGGCTGGTCTTTTTCATGATACGCAGGAAATCTTCCTCATTGACTTCCCCATCTCCATCTCGATCAGCTTCATCAATCATTTCCTTCAGCTCCTCATCAGTGATGTTCTCATCCAACTCATTGGATACACGTTTGAGATTGTCAAATGATATGGTCCCAGTTTCATCATCATCGAAGAGCTTGAAAGCTTTCAGGATGTCTTCTTTGGAATCTTTCTCAAACATTTTTTGAGTCATCACAGTCAAGAAGTCATTGAAATTTATTTTTCCTGTCCCTTCTTGTTGGGGTCCAACCCAGCAGGTCCAGGGATTCCCAAAGGTGTGGACGGAGTCGGTGAAGAAGGAATGACACGGAGACAGCGTTCAGTTGATCAGCAGCCTAGCCAGGTTCTCCAGCCAGGTTCTCTCTTTATTCTCCTGTTACATCTGTATTTATACCATTTGATTTTAATCCTATCCATTCTATTCCAAAGGTTAGGGCATTTGTTATCTCCATTTCAAGGTCACTACTCTATTGTTCTGTTAAGCTACAAGGAAGTAACTGAAGGAGATTATCCTAAGTAAAGATTATATAGCTTAAGCGTGATTGTTCATAGTTAAAGTGATTACCCGCCTGGCACTTAGTTAAGGGGTTTTACTGATTTATTCCCTTCCTTAGTCCTGTTAATCCCTAACTCCAGGGAAAAATCCCCACCTGGGGAAACAACCTTTCTTGGAGAGGTGACCTTGGTTAAAACACATAGCGCTAAGAAGGGGAGCAAACATATTAAGAACAGTATGCCATATACGCCAGGTCCCTTGAAACATATGCTGTGCAGATGTTTCTTCCCTGCAGCGACTGTGTCAAGCAGCAAGGATGGACCGGCTTCTGGCACCTTCTGGGTCAATTTCACTTATCATCTTCATAATCTCTTCTTTCTTTGGTTCAAAGCCCATTGCTCTCATCACCACCTTGAGCTCTTTAACATCAGTGGTCCCAGTTGCATCAGTATCGAAGAGATCAAAAGCTTGGCGTAGCTCCTGTATCTGCTGTGGACTAAGCTCCAGCTTAGGACTCACTCTTTTTGGCTGGGAAGATGATGCCACATTTGTCGTCTTAAGGCTAGAAGAAGCCTTCGGAGGTTCCGAGTCTTCTTTGGCCTGGAACAGGTTGCCTAGAGGGCCATGCAAGCCCGGGGGCGGCTGCGGGCCAGCTGTGTGTTAAGAGGAGACAGCGAAAAGGCACAGGCCCCGCGAGGAGGCTGGCGTTTCTTCAGATCCATCTCCGACTGACTTCTGCTCCCGATTCGGTAGGCAGACTTTTAAAATGGTCTAAATGAGCCCTCGCTAGTTTGGCTCAGTGAATAGAGGGTCAGTCTGCAGACTGAAAGGTTCTGGGTTCAATTCTGGTTAAGGGCATGTACCTCGGTTGCAGGCTCCTCCCTGGCCCAGGCCCTAGTCAGGGCGTGTACAGGAGGCAACCAATCAATGTGTTTCTCTCACATCGATATTTCTCTCTGTCTTTCCCTCTCTCTTCCACTCTCTAAAAAAAAGGGGGGGAGTAAAATATCCTCGGGCGAGGATTAAAAAATCCTATCTAATAAAAGAGAAACATGGTAATTAGCGTACGACCGCTACCCTTCCCATTGGCTAATCAGAGCGATATGCAAATTAACTGCCAGCCAATATGGCGGCTGGCAGCCAGGCAGCTGGAAGCGAACATGAGGCTTGCTTGCTTCAGTGAAGGAGGACTCCAACGTTCCCGCCTGCCTTGCCGGCCTCTGAGCTGGCAGTTTGAAACATTGTAACAAATATAGAAGCTAAACAAAACCCCAGAAACCAGCTTTCAGCCAGCAGGGATCTCAGAGCTAGAGATGATACAGTGTATCAATTATAGAACCCAAACAAACCAGATACCTGCTTTCAGCAGCAGAGGCCTTGGCCCAGAATAAAGAAAAAAAGGAGCGGTTGGGAGCTTCAGTCACCCACCAGCCTGAAAACAGCCCTCAGCCCCTCAGCCAGACTGGCCAGGCACCCCAGTGGGGACCCCCACCCTGAAGGGGGTGTGACCAGCTGCAAACAGCCATCATCCCCTCATCCAGGCTGGCCAGGCACCCCAGTGGGGACCCCCACCCTGATCCAGGACACCCTTCAGGGCAAACCAGCCAGCCCCTACCCATGCACCAGGCCTCTATCCTATATAGTAAAAGGGTAATATGCCTCCCAGCACTGGGATCAGCGGGGCCTCGAGGCCTCCTGGCACCAGGATCAGCGTGACAGGGGGCAGCGCCCAAACCCCCTGATCGCCCTGCGGCTCTGTGTGTGACAGGGGGCGGGCCACAACCTCCCTATCCGCCCTGCTCTGTTCGTGACGGGGAAGGCGCCCCAACCCCCTGATCAGCCCTGCTCTGAGCCTGATAGGGGGGAGCTCCCCAACCCCCTGACCCCCTGATCACCCTGCGGCTCTGTGTGTGACAGGGTGTGGCGTCCCCCCCCCACCCCTCCGCGGGCCCTGCTCTGTGTGTGACGGGGTAGAGCCATAACCTCCCCATCGGCCCTGCCCTGAGTGTGACAGTGGCGGCGCCCCAACCCCCTGATGGGCCCTGCTCTGTCGTGACAGGGGGGAGCTCCCCAACCCACCTGATGGGCCCTGCTCTGTGCGTGACAGGGGGGAGCTCCCCAACCCCCTGATCGACCCTGCTCTGTGCGTGACAGGGTACGGAGCCCCAACCCCCCTGATGGGCCCTGCTCTGTGCGTGACAGGGGGCAGCGCCCCAACCCCCTGATTGGCCCTGCTCTGTGTGTGACGGGGTGGCGCCGCAACTTCCCCATCGACCCTGCCTTGAGTGTGACGGGGGCGGTGCCCCAACCCCCCAATCGGCCCTACCCTGAGCGTGACTAAGAGTGGCATTGCAACCTCCCAATCCGCCCTGCTCTGTGCATGACAGGGGGCGGCGCCCCAACTCCCCAATCGGCCCTGCTCTGAGCCTGACCAGGGGCTGCACCTAGGGATTGGGCCTGCCCTCTGCCACCCGGGAGCAGGCCTAAGCCAGCAGATCGTTATCTCCTGAGGGGTCCCAGACTGCGAGAGGGCGCAGGCCGGGCTGAGGGGCCCCCCTCCCCCCCGAGTGCACAAATTTTTGTGCACTGGGCCTCTAGTAATAAAAATAAAATAAAATGATCATCTCCTGGTATTCATGCCCTTGTGTAATCACCTCCCCTTGAGTGTGGGCTGGACCTAATGACTTATCCCAACCATTAGATTAAGAAAAGGTTGATGAGATACCATTTCTGCCATTAGGTTACAAAAGATCATGAATTCTGTCTTGCTAGCAGCCTCTCTACTGCATTTTTAACTTGCACTTGTTGATAGAGCAAGCTGTCATTTAGGAGAGTATCGCTTGGCAAGGAATTGAGGATGGTCTCCAGCCAACAAGTAATGAGGAACTGAGAGCCTCAGTCCCACAAGAAACTAAATGCCAAAAACTATTGTTTAATCTTGGAAGTTGATCCATTCTCAGTTGAACTTTCAGATGAGACCTCATTCCTGGCCAACATCTTGATTGCAGCTTTATGAGAGACCCTGAAGCAGAGGACCCAAATACCTGGCCCACAAAATCTGTGAAATAATCAATGTGTTGTTTTAAGCCACTAAGTTTTGGGGATAATTTGTTATACAGCAATAAATAGCCTGGCCGGCATGGCTCAGTGGTTGAGCATTGACCTATGAACCAGGAGGTCATGGTTAGATTCCCGGTCAGGGCACATACCTGGGTTGCAGGCTTGATCCCCAATGGGACATGCAGGAAGCAGCTGATCAATGATTCTCTCTCCTCATTGATGTTTCTATCTCCCTCTCCCTCTCCCTTCCTCTCTGAATTCAATTATATATATAATTACAGGGAGCAATGAAAAATTTATTTAAGAAGGGAAGGTTTACTTAAAAATTTGGAAAATAAGTGAATGATTTCTTAAAAAGTGTCCATTTATAGAAGCTGTAAGCTGTAGCACCAGTACAAAGGATGTTCTTTGATTTAGGAGGAGCAAGTTTCCTTTAAATGTATTAATCTTGATTTCTGTAACTTGGGGATGATCATTTAATTGAGAGCTTCATGGCCTTCTAATGCCATGGTGTACACCAATAATAAATAATTTTTGAAAAAATTAACTTATTAACTAATTTAGGTCATTTTTAAATACAAAAATGTTATTACATAGGTTATATATAAAACAAAACAAAGTGTTTCTCCTGAGTTCCAGACATATCCATCCAGCTAGCTGCTAGACATTCATTCCATCTGGATATGAATTCATAGAAGCAATAGAAAGTGAACCTGTCAAAAACTCAACTCATTTCTATACTGCACAAATCTGATCTGCCTTCTTTAGTTTCTGTCTTTCTCACAGTCCATCCACTACCCAAAGCGGAGCCCAAAATCCATTTCCAGTACTCTCTCATTTACTAGTACCCCCATTCAGTCCAACTCAAGTCCACTTAACCTCAGAAACGTTGCAATCTAGCTGTCCCTCTACTGCCCCTTCACTACCTAAGAATGGATGTGAAGGACTTTGTCAAGTTCTATTTTTTAATGTTTTGTTAACTTTACTGTCCAAACTTTAAGTTCTATTTTAAAAATTCTATTATGTTTAATATACATAAACTTTTTCCCAAAATGGTTCACTTCCACCCTCCACTAGGGAATAAAATTGTAGTAAATATAACATGTATGAGATGTGTCTGTAAATTACGGGATCTAAGCTGAAAATTAGTTTTATTACCTTAAAGTCACATTTATATTATACAGTTAATATATCTTAGAGTAAAAATGTTTTCTGAAAAGTATTTTTACAAACATTGTCATTGATTTCTAATTTAAATAATGTTTTAATTTTTATTTCTGAAACATCTGTTGTCAATAGAGTCTAACACTTTAATTTGGGTTCGAGTTTTTCATGGAGCATTTGCAAGAAAGGGACTTTAAATTTCAGAAAAAGTTTAGATTAGGTTTCAGGAACAGTTCATTGCTTAATTGTCTTAGGAACCAGGGGTGGGGAACCTCTGTCTTCTAAGAAAAATCCAAGACTTTGCTTAAGTTTATCAGGCCAATAATAAGTTCAGCAAAAGTTTAATTAGTTGGTGATGGATTGAAGCAGAGAGTGAAACTCAGCAATGTAATATACTCTATTCTCACATCTTTCAAATAACTTGTTAAATCAGTGAAAACATCTTGTATATCTGTATACCTGTATTTAATTGCTTTATTTTTTGGCTCTTGTCAGCTTTGTTTTTGGTCAGCTTGTTTGAAAAGAGTTTTACTCCATGCTTGTTTTTGAAAATGCCTGGTGCTTTTTTATTATTGTGTGGCCTT